ATTTTCAGTCTGTCACTTTAAAAATCTTCAATTCTACGCCCATCAAAGTATATTTTCATATTTGTTTGCACTTAATCCCATGGATTACATTGTCATCCATGAAATTAAATGTGATTCTTACTTGGTTGTTGAATGCATAGCCCTCTTGGATCATACATTTTAACAACATATTTTAACAAATCATTTGGCTAGATCAATAAGTAAATTAAGTTCAAAGTTTAAATCATCACACTTAAGGATTTAAGATCACTTCCAACCAAATACTATTCTTTGCATAACTATATTTTAATGTAAAAGGAAAGGAAAAATAAACTACTCAGAATTCATGAGGAAAATACAACAAAACATGAATTTATATATATATAAACAAGTTTACACAACATTAAAGTAAAGTAAAACAACTTATCCTAATCTCCTCCTTAGCAAATCCCTTGGAGTTACTTTGAATCACTCTCTCTTCTTAGAATCACTCAATTCTCTCTTAGATATGTAAAAAATAATAAATCTCTCACTTTCTCTCTTCTCTTACAACTCTTAGAGAAAAACTCTCCTAAATCTCTCTCAAACCCTAGTAATAGATTTTTGCCCACTTCTTTTTTCTTAGTTCGCCACCCATTTCAATCCAAAATGAGTGTTTAATAAGGGATGGCCAAAATTCCAAGAGTCTTCATAGGCATCTCTTCAAAACTTCTCTAAATTCAATGTATTTGGAGGAATAATCACTTCTGGCGCCGTTTCGTTTCTGTTTAGTATCTTCTCTGGAAAGTGGCGTCATTCTGGCACCAGTTCAATTTTTCTTAAAATGCATCCTTTTGACTCCAAATTCCATCATTTTTGCTTTCTTTAAGCCCAAATGCCTAAATTGAGTAAACCTGTAACAAAATATAAAAATATACTTCTTTAAAGTGTAATATCACTAAATATAAATATTAAATGTATAAATAAAATCGAACATTTTTTAGGTGTATAAATAAATGGCTCCTAGGTGCTAGTATATATCGTTATGGCTTCAGGTTCTCTATTTGTTGGACATCAACTGGCACCTAAGTTCCCATCTGCAGTGCCATGACGACATGGCTTGGTGTCAAGGCGCCAGCCTGCTGTCGATCCATTTGCCTCCTTTTCACTCTATTTTTGCTCCAATTTGCTTCAAATATCCTACCTTTTGTATATGTAACAAAAATATGGAAAAAACTTCCTTTAATGTGAAATTTCATAAAAAATAAGTGTTAAATATCAAGGAAAAATAACATGCTACATGACATGTCAGTAGGTTCAGGATGGGCCGCTGATACACCTAAAATATATAGTGTATTTATATACATTTTTATACCTATTTTTTGAGATATTGCGCTTTAATGAAAGGTATTTATGTATTGTTCTTGTAGGTACAATCAAATATATGAAAATGCTAAAAGGAGTGAAAAAGAATCAAATTTGGAGCAAAAATGAAGAAATGTGCAAAAATGAACTGAGGCTCCTAAGCGCCTAGGATTGGCGCCTAAGCGCCAGATGATCCACGCCTAAGCGCCAAGTACCTCGTGCTTAAGCGCCAAAGTTACTTACTTGAAGAAATATTAAATTGGAGCGGAATTTTGAAGAGGTGTTTGAAGCAACCCTTGATAAAAATGTAGGAAATAGCCCATGGACACAAAAATTCATTCAAATGGCTTATGGAGGCAACTTCTAGAAGACTCATTGAATGGAGACAGCTTTTCGAAGAGACACCAAGGCACCCCTTGGATTTTTATAATAAAAGACTTAGATTTTCCAAGAAAGGGGGTCAGAAACCATCCACCAAAGACAGCCACCATCGCCACCGCCGCCGGCCACCTTTATTTTATTTTATTTTATTTTGAGTGTTAGTTTGTATTGAGAGAGAAGGAAGAGAATTCAAAGGAACTTCAAGACGTGGAGAGAATTTGAGATAAGTGTTTATCTTTGTGACTACACTTAGTTTTTAATTTAGATTTCTTGTTTTTGTGCTTGATTTTTACTTTTAAACTCATGTGTGGTTGTGTTTTCTCTATGAATTCTGAGTAGTTTCTTTATCTGTTTCCTTAAATTGATAAGTGATTAAATTGATAAGTGATTAAATGCATTAAATGCTTAAAGGAAGTTGTGTGAAGTATTAGTCTTCAATGTTGGAAGAATCTATGATGATTCAAGACCTTGCACTTCATTTACTTCTTGATTTGACCAATCAAGATGTTAAAACCTGTTGTAAGAATATATAAGATTTGAGATGGTATTGTTTCAGTCAACAAATGGTTAAAATCACATATTGATTTCATGAATGAGAATGTAGTTCATGGGGTTGAGTGCAAATAAATAGGGAAAAATATTTTCAATACTGTAGAACTAGAGGACTTTAGAGTGACAAACTAAAGCCCCCGATTTGATTTATAGTTTTAGGTTTTGATAAGAGATGTTAGCCCCTAGGTGGAGGGAGAAGAGGGAACTCTAGAATGAGAGCTAGTAACTTCCCTGCCTAGCCGGTCTTCAAGACTATTAAAACTATAGACTAGCCAATGTTCTTTATAGCATCTAATAAGGGTAAAGAATATTATTGCTCATATTTGGCACAACACATTTATCCACAACTCACAACTGAATTTCTATATTTATCACTAATTCATGATAAGGAAAAAGGAAAAAGATATTTTACATACATATATTGCCTTCATCTTGCAAGTATTTTAATTAAGTTAATTAGTTGCTCAATTTATTTTCAATTATAAAAAATCAATCAAAGAATCGAACTTTCATTTCTATTATAGCATCTTAATTCTGAGTAAGAATATATATTGCTAAGTATTTTGTTATTTAAATCCAATCCTCCTTGTGGGTTCGATATTCGGGACTTAATCAAAAAGTTCTATATTACTTGATAACGATACATATACTTGCGTAGTATCCCATATTGAAATATTATAACTGCATTCTTATTTGCTTCATGGTGAAAAATTTACCTAGTCTTTGCTTTGGATCAAGTTTTGGTGCTGTTACAAATTAATAATAACTATTAGAAAAATTAATCATATAATCACATACATCGCATTTTACATCTATCTATATAGAATGTCGGGATTAGCCGTGCATTCAAAAAATGCTTAATTTATTTTTTTAATTAGTGGGACCCACATTTACACGGGGCATTTTTTTATTGGTGGTTGGACGAAAATTTGCATCTGGTCTCCAAACGCAATAATTTTCCCCGGTGGGGCATTTGGATTCGGTGTTTTTATTTTTCTGAAGTAATGTTACCTCATGATATGGTTTGTTTTTTTGAATAAATATTACCTCGCTAATTGTATAAAGATATCAGATTGGATCCTGCTACCCCAAAAACAAAAGAGGGGGTTTGAGTTGAAAGAATGACCTGGCCAAAATAATTATTACTATAATAATTTATTATTTATCAACCTCATTTTACTGCCTTCCTTTTAGAGCTAGAGTTTTGGCAAAAGAGTTTCAATCCCTTCCGTTTCACCTCACCAGCTACCTCTGTGTCCTGTTAAGGTTTTAAGACTATAATTTTATTTATTAGGCTACTTTTTTTTTTCTAAAATTTTATCACGTTATGGTTTGGGTTATACTTATCTATGTATGTATGCATATCAGAATACCCCACTTACGAGCTTTAGACCTCTCTTATGAACATTGGAATACCTCTCATATGGGTTGTGGACCTCATGAACTTTGACTTTGTTAACTCAGGGTGTGTTTAGGGCAACAGTGCACCACACATTATATTGTTTGCTAGAAATACGTTTTGCATGCTTTTTTAAAAAGATGCGGTGAGAAAGTGTATTTTGCAACCGGACCTGACTAAGTACAGTGGCTTCACGAGAATTAAGGTCTATCTTTTTTGAAAATAATAAAAAAATTATAATAGCCATTGCAATTTTTTGAAAAAATACTTTCTTCTACAGTAGCTTCATAGATTCTTCTTGAAACAACTTCAACTGTCCAAAATAGGCCCTCAATCTTCATTGTGCATGTTAGCAGTTTTTCTCTATTTATGTATTGTGCAACATACATGATCCCTCAAATATATCTTATTTTCTTCTATGGCACAATTGATAATGGTCTTGATGATTGTGTTTTTGTGGGTTCTGATTCTTTTAATTTATATTATAGGATACTCATGCTCTAAGTTTGTAACTTCATTAGTTATTTTTGGTGAATCCAAAGTGTTAATGTGATGATCTTAGACTGTTTGCCTTCTTACTTGCTATATTATCTTAGCACAAGGGTGAGTCTTTCTTTTGGATTACCATTGATTTAATCGCCATTGTGATCCAAGATGATGATCTTTTGATTTGTTGATTCATGTAGCCATTATGTTGAGGTGGAACATTTGGTAATCAATTTTTCCTCAATAGCTTTGATGCTTTCCCTCTCCTATCTATGCTCTTCTTTATCTTATATTTGCCAATTACTTCTTTTTGCTTTACCCTCATTTTTTTGGACCCAAACAGATTTGCTTGCTGGCATTTCTTTCATGTGGATATATTATTACTTTTTTTTACCTGTAATGCTCATCTTGGTGGAATACAAGCCTTGCAGGATGTTGACGACCAGATCTCACTGTACTACTATTTTTCTATTTATCAGTCTTAAACTGTAGCAAACATTCATTTATTTCTAGAATTATTTAATGATAAACACGCCAGTTGTAAAGCTATATTTTGGAATTACGTATTATATGTTCGCTCGAGGCAAAGCTTTGTAGGTAGTTGGAACTCGCAACTCTCAAACTCGAGCCCATGGAAACTAAAGCCATCAAAATTGATAAAATTTCAAAACCAAATTCTCAATTTCATAGGTTTCTTTTACATTGGTCAAATTCATGAAAATCACAATGCAAAAGAGCTGAATTTCTAATTTACCTTCATGAAACTAGGAACCATACATTCCAAATCCTATCGACATGATTGTTTATTAGAAGAAAACCACAACTGTAAAACCAGATTTCAAATTAAAGATCACAAATATAAAAGGCTGTAAAATCTAAACCAGTTGGGCAGTTATTCAAGCATTAAAACAAAAGCTGAGGTCGCCCTTTAACAGTTACAGTTATCCCTCAGGTTACTGGTGCTTCTTTGCCAATTCTTTTAGCAATCTTCCCTTGCGTATGTTGAGGCAAAAGCCAAGGCGCCATTTATCAACTACACCAACAGGCAAAATGGAGACCAGCGTCCATAACAGAGAATGAGGCCAGTATGGAGTGCATCTTGGCTCATAGCCTATCCACTGTAAGGCAGACTGAGCATACGTGTCAGCTGATGGCACGAAGAAGGAAGATCTCCGAATAGATGCCATCTTCGTTGCTACGTATAGGGGAACCTGAAGATGTAGAAAAGAGCAATTACAACTCTAATGTGGTTCCATTTACAAGGAAATCTATGAACAATTGACAAATTGATAATATATTTGGTTCTCAGTTTCTTTCGTGTATTTTATTGGAAGAAAGGTGACATGATCTTAATTATATATGATTGTCTTAAAGGTTGTTTCCATGACTTTTCAGGGAAACTTAAATCCAGCCAATGAATGAGAAATATGCTAGGTATGGCATCAGCTTTATTTTTATATTTATTAATGTCTGTTTATTGTATTTTTTAACTGATTTTATTTTAAACAAAATTGTTTTGTCGACATATAAACAAATCAAAATAAAAAACTGAAAACAAAACATTAGATGATACCAAAGAACCATTAATTTAGTTCATCGCTCTACGTGTTTGTAGATGCCGGTCGTAATTTCTCTCTGTAAGATGTTTCTATTAAAAGGTATGCTTAACTGGATAATTAACAACATCAGCTCCATGTTTATTGTCCCAAATTACTCTGTATTTCTTTATGTTTAGCAAAATAAATTGTTTTAGAAGCATGATATTTAGTGACAGGAGATGCAGGTCCTCCGCATCACCTTATATGGGAAATTTGGCACTAGGAAACGCAATCATAAGCTTTAATCAAATCAAACATTTTTAACAAGAACCTCTTGACAATAATATCCTTTGAAGTGATAAAATTAATAGTTCATCATGTATACTTTTTTAAATCCATATGTTTCATAGTCAAAGGTTTAGGAATAAAGTTTTCCTTTATTCAACCATTGTGTTCCATGTTTCATTCATTTCCATTTTGACTAGATTTTTGCCGTGCGCATGATCAGGAATTCTTAATTAATGACAAAGTACATAATTATACATACAAAGAGTAAGAAAATGGTGTTTGTACATAAACAAAGATTTCAAAAGAAAATTGAAATGCTAAATAATCTCATAATACCAGTAAGATAAAAAAAAGCTAGATTATTTCAAGTACAATTTTGCTTTCCAACTAATGAAAGATGGTTAGTATTTTTTTCTAGCAAGGAAAATATAGATTAGATAGTGAAATCACATTGCCAAGTTTTAATTAGTCAGATCCTTGCTCTTTTAAAAAGGACGAAAACTTGATGGATAAAATACATCTTGTATAAATTAACAAAGCTCATATTCCAAGTAAAAGAGAAAAAAGACGGCATTGCAATACATCTTTAAGGATGATGCTAGAAAACGAGCTGTATACAGCACCACTCAAACATCATGTTATTTCTCAAAAAAATGTGAAAAAACAGGTGTCGCGGACACGAGGTTTTATGGTTCAAAATCTAAAAATTTATTTTCGAGATTTATATGAAGGTCATGAAATCAGCAAGCTTATTTATTTTTCAATTATAGAGAATTTCTTTCTAAATATTTATCTTTGACTCTCACCAAGATATATAATTATGGTAGCTTTGACTCTCACTGTATGCCTATTGTAAAATGAACTGACAAACCGTGTTTAAACAACTCTCCTAGGTAATCATATCAATTAAACATTCATAGACACATTCAAATACATAAATTAGCATAGCGATCACTATTAGGCTATTGGATTAAATATAAATGAGAAATATCATATGTATACATTGAGCATGTGATAGACCTGTTAAACCATGAGCTGTCTATTTTGCTCCTGCAAATGAACTATGATACAAAAAAATATTGGCTCACATGGATGAAAAGATAGAATCATTCACAAGTGCAGTCATACTACACATAACATGATAGTAATGCGTGAAAAATATAAATGACAAAATCTGATATTTGAAAAGATATTAGCGTAGCCATAATAAAAGAGAAAAGGCTACATAGAGGGGATTTAAATGAAAGATACTTACTTGGCACTGCACATCAATTCCCTTATCTTTGACCTCAACATAAAGGCACTTCGAAAATTGATCAGCATACCTGCAATAAATATAACCTTCATTTAGAAACCTTTAAGAGATAAATACGCAACTTTCCCATGTCTTTTTTCCTTGATGCAACATAACTAATGCACATATACAAGGATCAAAAGCTCAGTCATATACGAACTGAAGCTAATCAGCAAGGAAAGTTGAAAAAACTCCGTTTAATCATTCCGCACATAATAACGTTTTCAAATTGCTTGGCATGGAATATCCAGCAAGAACCAACGTAAATTCCGATGAATAAAGAAAAAAACAAAATATCCAATAAAAGGGCAGTAAACGGGAGCAGAGAAAACTCACGCTTTACTGGCTGCATAGATGGCATAGAGCGGATCTGATGGAAGAACAGTAGAGGCCCCCGATCCAATATTCAAAACCGCGCCTCTCTTCCTCTCCACCATCCCCGGTAGCACTGCGTGAGTCACCCTCGTCAACCCCTCCACGTTTACTTTGATCAAATCCTTAATCAGATTCTCCTCCACTTCGTGCAAGTACTTGGCGAAAGGATACGACATTCCGGCGTTGTTAACGAGGATCCCGACATCCATCCCCTCGATGGCTTTTCTTAACCTGGCAACTCCCTCGACAAGACCACCGGCGAAGTCAATTTGCACGGTCTCAACCCTGGCATTGGGGTGCTTGTCGCGGATAGCGGCTGAGACGTTGACGAGCTTATCGGGGCTGCGGCCGACGAGGACAACGCCGAGGCCGCGCCGGACGAGTTGGAAGGCGAGGGCGCGGCCGATGCCATCGGTTGCGCCCGTGACGATGGCCCAGGAACCGTAGCGTTTGAGGTTCTTGCCAGGGCGAATGAAGCTGAAAAAGACCCAGCGGAGTGTGGCGACGGAAACCTTAATCAGAGAGAGGAGACCGAGGAATGAGAGGGCGAGGATCCAGGCCGGATGCTCCTTGATGGAGGCGAGGCAAACAGAAAGCTCCATCTCCTGGCAGCAGTGAAAGAGATATCGGGGGAGCTGAAAAGAGTAGTTGCCCGGGTGCAATTTTATAGAGATCGGCTAAAGAGAGGGAATACAGGGGATTTTGATTTCAATGTGGATGGTTTGAGTAGACCAGTTAAAGAGGCGACGCGGCTAGTTTCGTATTTGGAATGAAACCATGCTACTGCTCAACGGTTCTCAACGGCAAGATAACTAATATCCTGAGTACTACTTGTATTGTACCAAACGCTACCTAAATTCTAATAGAAAAATAAATAATTTTATTGAAAGTAAATAAACGATTAAAATTAATACATTTGAAATGAAAAATACAATTACACAAAACAAAAAAATACAACTAAAGTGTATCCCAAAAGGTGGCGGAGGTTGGTTAAGTGGATCGGAATGGCTGGCGGGTGTGACAGCAACAAAAGTAAGATGGTGATAGTGAGGGGGATGTATGGCGAGGATAGCAAGTATGGTTGTTGTCCTGGATGGTGGCAACATGGAGTTTGGGTGGGTAGCAGAGGAACAATAGGAAGGTGTTCCCTGTTGTCTGCAGCGACATGATAGGAGAGCTAGAACAACAGAAACAACGGACAATTTGGGAAGTGGCAATACTGGAAGGGAGGGGGAGGCGATTGAGAGGTTAGAAGTTGCAGGAATACAAGGCAAAATGGTTTATGAGTGGCAGTACTGGAATATGATGGTTGGATAGCAGTGGTGGTTATTTTGGTGAGCTAGAATTGCTGGGGTAACAAAACGGTGGACGAGAAAGCAATAGTGATGGCTAAAACAATAGAAAAAGGATCCTGAATGTTGTCATGAGTGGATCAAACAATGAAGGGTATTAGGGAGTGACCTGAGGAGGATTTGGAAGGGGATAAAGAAGATACACTCCACCTAGAGACTAAGAAACAGTCGATGCACCATCTAGAACCCTAGGATATATAACTCAAAGGGAAGAAGAAATGTTGTTAGCTACACCGATACCAAACACAAAAAAAACTGACTTCCAAACCTTAATACAACATATATATAGGAAATGACTAAAAAGAAATGACGGATAATAGGAAAGAAAGCATACTAAAGGAAAATGAGATTATTTTGACGTGTCTCTCGTGATAACTAATCTTACGGTATAGTACCAACTACAACACTATTGCAATTTATTGTGGTAAGCTCCCATGTCAACCATACTTTTCCTTGTTCTTATGCTCCCCCTCCCCTCAAATCTCCCCTCACCCCTCTCCCCTCTCCCCTTGACTTCCAATATGAGGCACCCTCCCCTTATTAATTAGAAATTTTTTTTCCCATCTCTTCTTCTAACCCCTCTACCTTTAATCTTTTTCTAATCCTGGACACCATCCAACCAAAATTTATTAATACCTGAAGTAGAAAAATTGGTGGGCTATGAGGCGAGTAAGGCGTCGTTCTATGATAATCTCATTTAAAGTTTTAACAAGTTGTAAAAACTGTGACGTATTGTTGAGCTTATATCTCTTGTGGAAAGAATTTTTGTATTTAAGTTAACTCATGTTTAAACTTTTGGATGCTTTTGATGGTAGACAACATTTTGTTGGTAGCCAATTTTTTTTTTTAAATGGACTCCTAATTTTATGCTTGTAAAGGAAAACACCAAAAAATTTCTCATCTAGGTTACATTTTCTAATCTCCTCTTTATTGTTGGTTGGAAACTTACATTTCTAAATTTACTAGTAACATAAAAATTTATATTGTTGTAATTCCACTCACAACGAAAGGTACCGGGCTAATATTTGAGAGATTTAGCATCCAAATCCCCATTGAATTTGTCCTTCCTAACGATATGAGCATCTCTAAAGAAGGCCAAGATATCCAACAACAACTCTTGTCTGAGTGGAATCATTCATAATGTAATCATTTGTGACATCTTTGCACATTTATCTATTGCTTGCCCCAAATCCCCAAACTACAAGCCACCCTCCTCTACTCACTTATATTGCAGCCAAAGTCAATCATAGTTTGGGAGTAGGCCTCCTACTTCTAGAAGCCTCAACAAGCTCCATAATGCTCCATCCTATCTAATTTCCTTCATAATGCTCCCTCTTATCTTCCACTACCCTTGATTTTAATATTCTTGCTTCCTCTCCCTCTAGTGGCAATTCTCTCACTAATGGATCCTCATTGAAACTCTAGAGGAGTCCTTTATTCTACATGATAGTCATTTCCTTTACCTTGACCAAAATACTTTGTGATTAATTCCACTTCCGCACTCAATCTAGCTTCTATCCCGATAGACATGTCAAATTTCACACCCCATGTTCGGAAGTCAGTAAATCCTGACAAAGCAAGACATGATGAAATGAGTTAAACATATTTTATATTCTAAAAATAAAGAGTGTATAAAAATAATAAAAGATCTAAATAAGAAAACATTAACTTTATTTCATAAACATAAAACTGATTAAATCAAAACTAAAATGACAACATATAATCATTACCGAGACCCAAAAAAAATATAATGGCTAAAAAACATATTGAAAAAATTATCGAGATGGGAAATTTAAAATTGCAAAGTTTGCTCCAGTGGAGACAATCCTACTAGTGGTTGGATAAAACATGTTTTGCAAAATATTAAGAAATGAGTTTAACAATCAAACTCAATAAAAAAATAACTATTTCTTAAAGTATAAATGACAAGGAAAATAGGGCATGTAAAATAAACAAAAAAAAATGGAAAAGTAATATATGCATATATAACGTCTTAGACAATAACACTCGAATATGTTTATTTATAATAATAAAATATCCAATCATTTTGAATCAAGTTATTTATCATTCAATTTTAATTTATATTTATATAGTCAATTTTAACATACCCCTTGAAACCATAAAGGTCAACACATCCCAAGAGAACTCAGTGATTTTCTATCGAGCATCACCTCATGAGTCCCCCAATTCAAATAGCTAGTATTCAAAAGAGTTTCACCAATCTAGATATGATATCACACACACAAGCAAACCATTTTCTCATAAAGTACAATATATAAGAAGTATGTTATTCCCTGCAGGTTAATGATATGAATTTACGTGTCATTTCATAAAGATAAAGTGCAGAAAAAGAAAATAGTATAATTACAAGATTTATTCACCTTTTCAAGCATTTTGCACGATAAGTGTTAGGACATTAGTGATTTCAACATGAGCAGTACTTGAAGTATATAACAATTGTAAAATAATATTTCTAATTAAAGTGGCAAAAGCATAACTAGCAATCTTATAAATTACATATGAACCTAGTAAGAACATTAAGAATAACGCTTTTAACTAAGAAGTCTATGTTTTCCCAATAATAAAAGAAGTTACTTACCTCGAGGTGATAGGCACAATGATTTTACGTGTACAATTGTTGAATTAGTAATCCTAAACTATTTAAGAAATAAAATATAAATAATTTTGCAATTAAATGTATTTATTCATTAAATTAGGTGTAATCTAATTGAAAGTTATTATTATTATTATTATTATTATTAATATCAAGGTTTAAAAAATTAGGCCGAACCCGCCGACTCAGCCGGTTCGACCATGAATCAACCAATTGTCCAGTTCTGAGCAGGCTAAAAACCATTTCTGCATCAGACCAGACATAACCGAACTGAACCATCAGTTCAACTGAAGAACCGTCGAATAGGGTGTGGTTCAAATGAATTTCTTTTACATTTATTTTTTATTTTTTTTAAAAATTCATTACCAAAAATTTGAAATTGTATGATATGTAGAAATTTTTCAAGAAATCCATTGAAAACCAAGTCTTTCATTTTATAGAGATCTGAAGAATTTCTAAAGGCAAAACTATGAATGTGGAGTAGTGACAGCTAAATTTTAGGAATTTTGTATTTTTTATATTTTTAGGAATATTTACGCTTAAAAAAACACTAAAATCTTATTTATTTATATATATGACGCCCAAGCCTTTGTATTTCTTATATTCTTAGGAATATTTATATGCATGCCACACAAATCACATTTATTTACATATCTAACGCCTAAGCTTTCCTATTTTTTTAATATTTTTAGGATAATTTACATGCATACCAATAAAATCTTATTTATTTACATATCTAACACCTAAACTTGTACCTTTTTTATTTTTTAGGAATATTTACATGCAAACCACCCAAATCATATTTAGTTACATATCCAACACCTAAACTTGTATTTTTTTTTAATATATCACATAAATAATTTTTAAAAAATTAAAAATTTTAGCATTTACGTGCATAACAGTCAAATCTTATTTATTTACATATCCAACACCTAAACTCGCATTTTTTTTTCAATATTTTTAGGAATATTTACATGCATACCACTCAAATCTTTTTTATTTACATGTCTAACACCTAAACTTGTATTTTTTTTTATAAATACTCCTCTTAAATATTTTTTTTTAAAAAAACTTAGCATTTACATGTATACCACTTAAATCTAACTTATTTACATATCTAACACCTAAACTTCTATTTTTTATATTTTTGGGAATATTTACATGCATACCCCTCAAATTTTATTTATTTACATATCTAACACCTTAACTTGTATATTTTATATTTGAAGGAATATTTGCATGCATGCCACTCAAATCTTTGTTATTTACATATCTAACACCTATATTTGTGTTTTAATAAATATACCACCTAAATAATTTTAAAAATAAAAAAAATTAGCATTTGTTTAATGCATATAAAAAAATTAATATAAAAAGATATAAATAAGTATTATTTATTTATTTATTTGGAGTCAAACAAGCCAAACACGAACGAAAAAATATTATTCGTGTTCAGCTCTTTTATAAATCAAGACAAAAAATATTTGTATTATTAATTTTTTTTATTATTATTGTATCATATAGGTCATATTTAATTATTTTATATATTCATTATGTTATTCGGTTCAACCCCGGTCAAACCATTGAACCTTGAGCAATTTCTTCTTTTGGTTTAATGTCTGGTCCGATTTTCACAACCTTGATTATTATTATTATTATTATTATTATTATTAGGGTTTAGGGTTATTATTATTATTATTATTATTATTATTATTATTATTATTATTATTATATT